TTTTTTTTTTTTTTTTTTTTTTTTTTTTTTTTTTTTTTTTTTTTTTTTCTCCTCGTGCTCAACATGAGAAAATTAACGTGATGCATAATATAGAGTCGGACTTGGGTAGGTTTACTCGATGGATTATTTTATCCGAAAACGTAATGCGTTGTTTTTGTGGGACAAACTTTTTTATTTTATTTTATTTTCAATCGCCATTGTGTACCGTATAGTAGTTGCAAAAAAAAGGGGTGATACTTTGTTAGGGAATAATCTAATGCTTGTAAATTTTTTATTTTCCCTCTTAAAAAATTGTTAGTTTATTTTTTTGTTGGTTGAAGTTTTGCTGTGAGGAAAAAAAAACACTAGCACGAAAAGGCGTTTTATTTTAAGGAAAAAAAAAATTTATACCACAAAGTAATTAAAAAAGTACCGGCTATAGACAGAAAACAGATAGCGAGCAATAATGTTGGTTTTCGGTCGATTTTATCTATTTGACAGCTTGTGCGCGTTACTCATTTGCGCTGTGTCGTTGAAAAATATTAAATTTTCAATAACCGTTTCGCAAGTACAAAATTGCAGTAAAAAAAAAAGAAAAGAATTGTCGTGACCCCATGCTACAATTGCTGTCACCACTGCTGTTGGTATAGACACAAAGTCAAGTCGCGTCTACTCGTAATCTTTAAATAATCTAAATATAAAAAAAAAAAAAAAAAAAAATTTGCAAACCAACACCTGAAGAAATTAACATTCTTGTTTTTCATCTCAAAGTAAAACTTGATAAAAAACCTTTCCTCATTCTTAAATTTTTTTCTTCGAAAAATCAAAATTTATTTAAACGATGTACGCAAAATGTATGAAAAGCGCGTGTGCGTTTAAATAGATCTAATGTTATTACTTTCGTGGGGATCTTGCGATGGCATTATCATTTTGTAACGGCTCAGTGAGCCGTGATGGTATACGTAAGAGAAAATTCAAGTGTTAAATTTTCATTAGTATACGACGAGGAAAACTTTTTACTCGCCTCAATTAGTATTGCCGATATTCAAGGGGGTCAACAAAAACCACAGGGTCACGGAACATGATTTCAATAAATTAACACACGAGTTTTTTTTATTGTAATTACAACGACGCAATTTTTTTGTTACACGGCTAAATTGAAATGAAAATTTTAAAATGGTATTGCGTGATTTGAGTTTAATTTTTACTGTAATGTATGGAATCATCGCGTCAGGAAACGTATAGACGTCGGACGTGGAACCACTTGGAAAAGTATTTTTCAATCATTGCGCAGCTTCCCGCGGTGAAGAAAGCAAAGTCTCATTTCTACAATGAGTACCTACTTTACCTTTCAAGTCGTAAAAGTTGAAGAATTCAGCCGCTCGGCCATAAAGTTATGAAAACATTCTCGAGACTGAAAATTCGCTCACGATATTTGAGATGATTTTATATGCATACGTTTTGTAGTCTATAGACAACAGTAGCGATGTATTTTGAAACATTATTTCCTATAGGTGCCAATAAAAGTTTACCGAAATCGTTGTATTTATCGTGATTCTAAATAAATAAGTAAACATAAGCCGACCTAGTAGTGAACCAATACATGGAGAGTAATAATTTAATTTTTTGTTTTCAAGTCGTTTTATTAGGCTTTATGTTGGTTAAAGCAGTTAATGTCAAAATAAATTTCTAACTGTAACTGCGCGGGGCTGGAATGCGGAATTTCACGAAAAAATTTTCAAACAATGCTGTAAAGGTTCCGCCGAAATGGATGGATTTTCGGCCCAGGATACGATAAGCTGCTCAATTTTTTTTTTTTTTCTTATTTATTAGTCAAGTAATTTTGATAATTTCACGGAGTAGAGCAAGTACGTATCAACGGCAACTTCGAGTCAGACGAAAAAGTTTCCGTCTACACGCAAAAACTAGAATGCAATTTGCAGATAATTTAAAAATGCAATATTATCGCTGTAATTCTTAATTGTTACTCGTAAAAAAACGTTACGTACCAATTAACTAGCGCAAAATTTTTATCTACGTGGTTGAAATTTTTAAACTCCAAACTTGCCTTGGTGCATAAAAAAAAAAAAAAAAATGAATGCTTTTATCAACGATGGTACAATTTAATGAAAAATGTCTGTGTTGAAAAGTGAGATTTAAAATATTTCGGAAAAAAAAAAAATAAAAAAAAAATAGTCTCGCGCATGTAACGTGAAAACTGCCGCGACTGATTCACCATAATATAGATACTCGGTTCCATTCATTAGCGCAGCAGCTCTCCGCGTTAGCGCGATATTTATTTGTATACAATTCTTAGAATGTTTCTCTCGGCGTTGCAACCATCGGCGTAAGGACACTCCGTACGATAGTCGAGAGTACTTGGTAAGGTCTGTTTTTCTCCTCTCCATTGCTCTCCGCATGAAACCGGTTTCCCTTGGCGAACCCAAGCAAAAACACGCTTATATTCGTCATAGATTTCGACTTTTTTTTTTTTTTTTTTCTTTTTTTTCATCTCTCGTCTGTGTGCAAATCAACGTGGAATCGCGGAAAAACTTATCCCTCCGCGAGTACTTAGCAATGAGAGTATCTCTCTCTCTCTCTTGTTAATCACCCAGACTGTGAATGTGTAGTAATAATAATTTATACTCTTTTCTTTAAACAGCTCAGGCGCAGCGTGCAAGACGTTTTGCAACCCTATCACGACGATCACTTCTTGCTGCGCTGGCTGAGAGGTGATGACCACGCAAACTGTTAATTTTTCAAATTTTAACGATTCCGCAAGGGAATCACGTGTTTCGTTATTTATTAATTCGTCAATTTGCAGCTAGAAAATGGGATGCCGCGGCTGCCGAAAAAATGCTGAGGGACGTAAGTCTACATATACGTGTATCATGCTGATGCGCTTTACTTTTTTTTACTCATCGATGAACGTCACTTTATGAGAAATAACTTTTATGTGCTGCATGTAATTACTATCGAGGAGTATTTCGCTGAAGTTATTGTTAGTTTTTTTTTTACTTTTGCGAACCAGATAAAATGTGTCACATGATTGTTAAAAAAAAAAAAAAAAAAAAAAAGCTCAAAAAGTGTCCATTCGGTTAGGTTCAATTAGCGAGATGGCGAAGAATTTATGTTTTTTTTTTATGTCTAGTCGCTGGCCTGGAGAAAGCGCTGGGACGTCGATCAGCTCCAGGAGTGGGAAGAGCCGAAAATTCTGAGAGAGTACCTTCCACACGGCCTCTCTGGATTCGACAAGGACGGAGCACCGGGTAAACTCTTTTTTTTTTATTTTTTTTTATAGTTAATAAAATATACATAAATAATAAAGCCTTTATCGTTTAACTCAAGTTTTTTATAATTTATAATTTGTATTAAATTTAATTAATCTTTACTATTTTGAGTTTACGTGCACACGTGCATTCAGGTTTTGCATTTGTACTATTATTGTGTCTATTTTTGGGTTCACTCTCATTTAATAAAACAAAATGAAATGAAAATTTTTTTTTTTTTCATGGTCGACTTTACAGTGATAATCGTGCCATTCGCTGGTTTGGACCTTTACGGGATACTGCATGTGGTCAGTCGCAAGGAGATGATAAAAATGACGGTGAAAAAGCTGGAGGGGTACTTGCAAATCTGCAGAGAGCAGAGCGAAAAATTCGGACCAGACGCCGGTCAGTGCACCGTCATCTTCGACATGGAAAATTTCAACCTCAGACCGTTCATGTGGCGGCCAGGTGAGACTTTGGCTTTTTTTAAAGGATTGAAAAAAAAAAAAAAATCTCTTTGAAATAGTCTCGCAAGTCACGGCACGATATTCTTTTTGTTTCAACTCCAGCCGGAGAACTCATAATAGCGCTGATTCAGATGTACGAGGCGAATTACCCGGAAATTCTCAAAATTTGTTACATGATCAATGGTAAGTTTTAGCACTTTGCGCCTATATTTGCGTGCATCTTTTTTTATTATTATTATTTTTTTCTATACTGTGGTCATAGAAATTAACGTCCCCGCGATTTTTTAGCACCCAAGGTGTTTGCGTTTGCTTTCTCGATTGCCAAAAAATTTATGAACGAGTACACAATATCCAAGATTCAAATATACAAGTCTGATCCCAACAAGTGGAAGAACGCCGTTCTGAAGATGATTCCCGAGGAACAGCTGCCGGTTCACTTTGGAGGAAAATTAGCCGATCCCGATGGTAATCCCCGATACACGTCCAAGGTGCTTATTTTTTAATTTTTCGTTCGGGACGGGATAAATCGTTTTTGAAATGGATGATATTTTTCTCGCAACTTTGCCTTCTAGATATGCCAAGGTGGTAAAGTTCCCAAAAACCAGTACAAAAACAAAGGCGACGCGGAGAGGAACGATGAATTTACAACCGCGACCATCAAGAAAGGTGACAAGCTGAAACTCGATTTCAAGCCCGATGAAGTGGGATCGCTGTTGAGGTGAATACCAAGTACTTTAATAAGTCGTATGTACGCATGTTAAAGGAAAAATTATTATTTGCAGCTGGGAGTTTCATTTAGACGAGCATGACATCAAGTTTGGAGTTGTCAGGAGAGGAAATGATGGATCTCAAAAGGAAATCATTCCAGTTCACCGAGTATCTCCTCAACAGTCGGACGAAGTTGGTCTTGTTACGTGCGACATTGCCCCAGCTATTTGTTCGTATCATTGATTCGATTGTGTTTATCATCTGGACATTAAATTTTAACGATATTCCATTTTATTTCAGATTCCGTGGTATTCGACAACAGTTACAGTCTGCTCAGAAACAAAAAGATTCACTACTGCATTCGTATGGTCCCTCCATCAGCTTTAGATGAAAGTACATTAGTATCGGCATGAGATGTTTTTCTTTTGTAAATAACGGAAAATGTTAAGTTTTATAAATTTTTACAATCCTACAGGGGTGACTGTTTTTTTTCTTCTTTTTTTATCAAGGATATAAAAATTGTAAATAAATATACACTATGTAGGTTGTATTTTTTTACTAATAACAATAGGTATTCAACTGTATAACTTGTTCAAAATAGAAAAGTATATTTATGTATGGCTCATGGTAATTGTATATAAAACCGCATGAACATTCCTTATAAGTTTATTAATCTATGTATTGTAATATTATTGTGTAAGTAAAAAGTTTTTTTATATAATATTAAATAGCAGTCAATCATCATCATCCTCAGTCAATAACATTTCAATGAGATCATCCTTTAACAAGTCACCACCTTCTAGACGCTTCTGCGTTCCCCATTTTACAAGTGTAGGTAACACTTTAACTTGTGCCTTTGAATTTGTTCTAAAAGGACATTTGGGATCTTTCCAACTAAACAAAAATTCAACAGTAATCTATTTAACGTCCAGAAATTTCAAAGCTTAAAAAAAAGTGTAGGCAGGTACTTACAAAGCTCTATCGCCTACTTCAACAACAACAAAGTTATAATCATTACTCAAAGATTGAATTCCCTTATCAATAAATGGTTTTGCTACAAGCACACAAGAATATCACTTTCAACAAAATGGGTAAAGATCTTGAAATTTCACAATTACAATACCTTCAACGCAATCAGGACACCAGCTATTACCATCAGGTAGCTTAGTACCAGTGTAAAGGATAAAAGTTGGAAGATCGGATTTGAATTTCTCAATGAATTTGAGAAAATTTGCATAACCCTCTACGTGATGTTTGATAACCATGTTTAAGAAATTGTGCTGATAACAAAAAGCTGAAAGACGAGTTGATTATTTGGTAAAATAATAACTTACTTTTTTTCTGCGTAAAACAAAATTATAACGTCAGTACAATAGATACGAACAAAAATTAAATTTTATTTATTACACTTACGGAAACACTGCTACACTGGAGAAACTTGACGCGTTGGGAAATAATTAAGTATATTTACATCACTCGCCGACAAATAATACTTGAGAAATTATTGCAGATTTACAGATAAAATGCAGATAACACCGCTACTGCGCTACTTACTTCTTCTACCTACTTCCCGAACAGAAATGAGAGTCGTTTGCCTCTCTAGTTCATGAGGCCCTACTTAGGCAGCCTACTGAGAGTACTGAGGGCAGTAAAGGGCACAAGTAGGCGCGTCAAGGGGCGTGCGTGAGGTACACAATGAGTACTACAACTACTCATTAGGCAGCCTACATAACCTATCTTTATGTGACCAAACGCCACCTGACGTTGCCAACGTAGGACCTCAGTTGGCAAGAGAGGCAGCCTAAGTAGGCCCTACTGATCGCCTACTTACAATTTCCGTTCGGGATGTAACGTTTTTGTATACATATAACTTGGCAAAGTAACTATATATATACTGTATGACCTGTGTGTATATGTACATCAGTACACATGTACTGTACATGTGTGTGTATAGTGACATGCAAAGTTAAGTCAGTTGAGTCGTTGAGTACTTGAGTGTGTGTTGCGTTTACCACCGTACCGCAGTCCAGTACTCCCGTTCCCCTACCCCGTAGGCAATCCGAATTCCGAATTCCGATTTCCGATAAGTGAACTAAAAAATCAGGTGACCAATGATTGGAACATATTTTTGATTTTTTTATTTTGTAGTAGCAGAATTTTGTAGGTCAATTAGAAGATTTTTATGTTGGAAAAATTATTTTTCCATATATTTCAAACTTACACTTTATGCATAAATGGTGTGTCTGACGAAATATTGAAAATAACTGATAAAACCTTCTATAAATATATGTTTAATGTTTATTTACTTTGATTACAATTTTATGACAACAAAAGGAACATTAAAAATTAGAATTACTTTTTTTGACAATATTCAACAAGAATTATTGAACCACAAATGAGATACTTATCAATGTTCTTAACTTTACTTTAACATGTGAAAATATAAAAGGGATTTGTATTGTTAGCATGTTTACCATTTCAATGCAGACATATCAATGTCTGTTGAGTTTCAAAATAAGTCGAATCATACAAATATTAAATAACCAAATATCTATGAATTTCTAAAAAAATTTTTTTAAAAATAACTTAGTTAATAATTTTACTGTTGACTTTCATTCAGCTTAAATAAAATAACTTTATAACTATTTTCAAAGCAAACTATGTACATACATATAGTTTATTATTTTTCGTGACATAAATAATAACATTATGATTTCCAAGCGAAACGTAGTACTTTTTCGAAAAATTTTTTAAATCTTGATAAATTATTTAATTTTTATTGTTGTAACGATCATAAATATGTCCACTTTAATTGTATACATTTTGTATTTAATAAATTGGGACACTACATTTCTTTTTTTATGATTTAACATTTCCTTTTTGGTCTATAAAGAACATTTTTTTACAAAATGGATTATTTGTGAAAAATTAATTTTTCACGAAACAAATCATCGGGCCATATTGTTTCTCTCTTGTTCCCACCTTTCACTCACTACACGTAAGTAGTGCACAGAGGAATGAAATAAATTTTCGATTGCTCGATAATCCAAGTTTCTATTGAAACACACAAAGTTGTTTGTTTTAAATATCAGGATAAATTATTTAACAATCCATCCATGAAGGAAAACTTCTTTTGTAAATATTTTTATCAAGCGAAAATTAATTTGTGTATTATATTAAACTTCATCTCAAATATAATTTCAGTTAAATGTTTGAAACAAATTATTTTGATAACTGTAAGACTTAGTTTATCTATTGAATAGCACGAAGTAAAGAAAAGTTGTAAAAAAATTCATGATTATTTTTTTTAGTATATGTTAAAATTAAATGTGCATTAATAGTAACAATATGGAATACATCTTTTTAATGATAGAAAAAAAAACATCTCGAATAATCACTTTGCTCTTGGATAAATACTTTTTATAAAACATTGAAAAGGCTACGATTGACCTTTTCATTACGTAAATTATGAGTGCATTAATATAAACGCATAAAAGAGCCTATATACAGATAAATAATGCCTTAACAAGAACATGAATCTTTTCCTCCTGGCTGAGCATTCAGTACTCCTTGTAAATTGTTACGACCAGGTTGGCTAGGATTGTGTTGTACCCCAGATTCTGCTGCATTTAAGTCCAACCTGAAGTTATTACAGCATTTATATTTTTTCTTATATCTTCATAATCAAAATAACAATTTAAAACTATCAAAGAATGTATACATACCGCCCATCTTGTATACTCTGGAAGATCTTTTTTGCAGTTTCCAAGAAGGCTTCTTCCACATTATCTCCTCTGTAATAATAAAAAATATGCACTTATTCCAGTAAACATGAAAAATGACATAAATATAAAAAAACTTGACATACGTCTTAGCACTGGCTTCAACAAACATCAGTCCATTTTCATCAGCAAATTGTTTTGCTTCTTCGTAAGTTACGTCTCTTTGAGCATCCAAATCACTTTTGTTTCCAATTAAAAATATCACCTTCAACATTAAAAAACAAACAAAGAAATCAAATATATTTTAATTTTGTCAGCATTTTAATATTAAATCCTAAACCTTACAGTGCTTGGATTTGTGAGATTCCTTGTATCTGTCAGCCAACTACTTAGGTGGTTATATGTTGAGCGCCGAGTAATATCATAAACCATGAGAGCTCCAGCTGCTCCCCGGTAGTACGACCTTTTATAATCGGTTATAATATTTAATAACTAATAAAATTGTTTTAACATTTAAAACTACACTATTAAAAGAAGAAGAAAAAATACTACGAAACGCTCCCAATACCTTGTTACTGCCCTGAATCGCTCCTGACCAGCTGTATCCCAAATTTGGAGTTTGATTTTTTGACCCGCAACTTCTATAATTCTAGTACCAAATTCTACACCAATTGTATGAGGGCAATCAGCCATAACTGTGAAGAATTACAAAGTGTTAAATGATTATTTTTAAAAAATGAAACGTTGGAAGGAAATGTATATTTTTCTCAAGTTCTTTGTACATTGATTTTACTTACATTTTTTTTCTGTGAACTGATGTAGTAAGCATGATTTTCCTACACCCATATCACCAATAATGATATATTTAAAAATGTAGGAGTAGTTGTAAGGGCCTGCCGACATTTTGAATCTAAAAACAAAATATAGATTTTTTTTTAAGCACACAGGGAAAATTAATTATCAGTAAATAATATATAATTTATAAATAGCTTTGAATTTTGTTTTAAGTTAATTATGTGTAAGAAGAGGACTAAGTATAGATTTTTAGAAATATGCACTCTTCACTTTTAGATAAATGTGTATTCACCTATGTAAGGAAAATCTTATTAGTGCTACAAGCTTTTCAGGGGCTGACTACTAACCCAATGTTAAAAAATGAACAAATACTCAATTACAGCAAGTTAAATATATGTATAAATATATACGTATATTTTTTTTTACTCGCATTTTGAGATAACGTTGAATTTGTACAAGATCAATGACGTTGCGTGTCAAGTCCAAGATTATTTGTAAAAGGAAATCAACTCGAATTGAAAAGGTACTTATTTAGTACCTACTTAGCTGCTACTCTCCAATGATCGAGATAATTGACAGGATTGACAGGAAGATACTAGCTTGGCAACGCGTTTATGCTCATTCGAACAAAACATTCAGAATAATTAATTACATGTATACAGGTATGCACAACACACATAGTTCCTGTAGTCGACGTCACTACAGCTGCGGTTTGGGATCTTATCGAGAGCCTCAGGATAATCTCTTCCCTTCTCTTTTATACGTGTAGGTATACCTTTAAGAACTAATCCAGGGCACCTGTGATGACCTGATTGAAGAAAACAACGGAAACATTGACGTATATATATGTATATATAAGTATATACGATGCGTCAGTCAGGACGAGAACCGCCCCGCACGACCCATGACTCTGGGGCATACTCTTCTCCCCCCTGCTATCGCTCAGTCGATTTTGGAGCATAAAAAAAACGCGAGACAACAACATCGGATCAAAAAGTGTTGTATATTACATTACAAGAGCAATATGCAAAGCTCACCTTAATTTCGTTGACGTGAAATATTTAATAAGTATCTCTTCTTTCGATCTTTCCAACTGTTCGGGCGTGCACAACTTTGCAAGTAGTTGCGACTCTCTCGTCACTCACTGCCACTATGTAAGAAATTGACCAACTGTACACCGAGTGGACTGGAATGATTATCTGAATCACAGAATATATAGATACAAAAAAGATAAATCCAAGAAAGCGAGTTTGCGAGTTTGGTTTACTCACACCACACTGCACATCAAAAGACAACACGACCACGACCAGGCTCTCATTAAATAAGGTAAGTCAACGTTGACACACAACACAGGACAACTTGCTGGCATATGCGAATGCGATCATTGGCCAGAGTAGAAATAAGCAGCAACACAGCAGAAGCCGACCTAACCAACCGATGATGACGTTCGTTCTGGCGTTTTATTTGATTTAACGTTGAGTAAATGAGTAGGATACTCAAATGGATACTTTGCGATGATTGTTTTTTGTTCTGCGATTCAGAAAGTTAAAAAAATGAATAAATAAAGCTTACCGGCAGGGGTTGTCCAATAGTTTGCGATTTTCAAGGTGGAGTTGGACGGACAGTTCAGGCAAGTCAGTTGTGAACTAAGCGATGATACATAAAATATGACTGAGCTCTCATCTCTTTTGCGTTTTTTTTTACCAAGAAGAGAGGTAGAGATATTCGTTTATTCATTCAAAACAGCAATTTTTATTTTTATTATGCTTCAAAAATTAAAAATTTTCCAACTTACCGGCTACTTTTATCTATCGCCTACACAACACATCCAGACTTTTCCTTTGGGGCAGCGCTTCGGCCGAGTTTATTTTAAATAATTTATGACGTCCATTAGTGTCATGAAATTTATATTTATTTATAAACAGTGATATGTAGTTGAGCATTAGGTATTTGACGTTAATTTCCATTGATGATAAGATGAAAAAAATTTTGATGCAAAACGCATAAAGATCATAGCACTTTCGATGTTGGTGTCTTTAATAATTAATAAAATGCGTATAAAAAGAATTCATCGAGAAATAAAAGTGTGGAGTTTGAACAATATAATATTTATGGTCTCTTGCTTTACTTAAGTAAATCCAAAAAGTACAAAAAAAGGGAATAAGTAGAATTGCAATTACAGCTGATCGTTTTTTTTGTCTCTCTTACATTGACGATTTTATAAAACGACGCTTCATTTGAGGGTGAATTAACAATTTACGAGAACGAACTCATTCATTGATTACCACCAAAAATTTTTGTTCGATACAAACCCGAGCTTATTTAGTTGAAATATGTATATGTCTACAAATGAACAGACTAATTTTTTATTCGGCCTACATATAATTATTACTACATTTTTTTTGCAATCAAATAATTCAATAATGTATTATTTACTACATCAATGAAATAGTTAAATTTTGTTTTTCCCACTAATCTTACCTTGTACTTTGATACCCTCTGATACATACAAACTTCTTAGCCTCCCTCTCCAACTCCTCCAAGGGAATTTAATGCTTGTTGTTAAAATATTGCGACAAGCATGGAGATATACCTACACAACATGTCAATTTTTACATATTGATTACCGCGACATGTAGTATACACGTATTATACATGAAATTATTGTTCAATCGAGACTTACTATAATTTAAAACATTGTTTCACATGTATTACAGCAAAGTCAGGTTTTTATACATACTCTTTTATGCTATGTGTTTATATACATATATAATGCCTAAAAGATGTTTTTTTTTTAATTTAGAGCGAGTTTAAAGAAAGGTGTACTTATAAGACACTGACGGTGGGAAGGAGAGAGAGAGAGAGAGAGAGATCTTTTATTTTCTCGCGGGAGTCGCGGGTCGCGTTGCAGTCGCGGCTTTCCTTGCTGGGTGAACGGAACGTCCGACGGGATGTTAGAAATTGGGATGGAACTTTAGTAAGCAATGCGAAGGTACTTGTTATACTTGTTAGTACAGTATAAGTGAGCAGTTGAGCGTTGAGCACTGCGGCCAAAGAGAGCGAGAGGAAGAGCAGCAGTGAGCGCGAGCTCTTTCTCGAGGTGCGCCTATACCAGTGTGTGTATATCGTGCGTGATCAGATCATCAGGCAAACTCCGCGATCGCGAGATTCGCGGGTGTATGTACATTTCTATTAACCGCGAAAGTGTGCAGTGTGCTTAGCAAGTTGGTGTGTTTTAAGCATAGGTATGTGGTGCTCCGGAAAAGCTCGAGGAGGCAAGGAACGCAACTACGTCAACCTACTTCTCGAAGACATCTCCTGCTAACTGCTAACTGGCGTACATGTGCAACCATTCCCCTCCTCGCCCCTCAGTTTTCGCTGGCTAAAAAAGAGGTACATACCTATATTTACATTTTATATATACACGATATATTTTGTGCGTAAGTTTGTGTGTGTGTGTGTGTGTGTGTGTGTGTGTGTGCATGGTATCTAGGACAATTAGGATGAAGAGCATCACGGGTGAAAAGTATTCTTCTGGAGTAAGAACAAGATGTAGAAAGATTTGGTCTTAGATGTTCCTTCCAGTGTGTTGTACAAACCAAAGTGCAGCTCCAAGTGTGCGTGTATGTATGTGTGCGAGTGACCGTAGACCTAGACCCTGTGTCGAGCACCGTTATTGAAATGTATTTTTGTAGTTAAAACGTCAATAATGGACTATTTGTAGCTTACGAGTGGCCCAAGAAAAAAAAAGGTGACAAATTGGTGGAAAAAGCTGGCTACAGAAAAACTTTAGCCTTAGGATAGCAGCTAAATGCAGAGGTTAGGTTGATCCTTCCTGGCTTTGGGTATACATGTATATATATGCACAGGAGCTCCAATTTGCTCCAAAAAGCCAGCAGGCGAGCTCGAAGGCATAGATAAGAAATTAATTGTAAGTAGAGGTAAGTTGTTATCATTTCGAATCTCCGATATCGCTCGCTTACACTCGGTGTACTTAACAGTATGTCTGTGATGTACTGCCGGGTCTTTCAACTTTCGAAGACGTAATGCCGAAAGAATTTGAGCCAACGGGGAAATTTGGAGTTTGTGTCGTATCTGTATAGTATTTAAACCTGCGTGTGCACGCTACTGTCGTCGAGTATAGTTAATAGTTAATAACACATTCATGTACCTACATGTGTATACCTACATGTTGTATTTAAGCAGGCAACGCCGCTGCCCCGCTTTGGTAATTAACCAAACAAAATGGACACCGAAAGATGATGACAATCGAGCAAAAAACTTGTGGCGATACGTATAGGTATGTATATATGTACGGGCGATTTTTCGATAGCGCATCATTGCACCGGAGCCAGAGAGGAAAAGAGATGATGTATAAAATTCTATCGAGCTCTTCTCTAAAAAGTACATACTTATTTATATACATATTACCTCTTTTAGCAATCGAGTGACTCAACCATTCAGTCAGTCGGCGTTTTTTATGTGTGTGTACCATATAATATTAAATGATTACTAATAAGTGCCTACGTGTAACTCGATGTTCACGTATGACTTGGCCTTAATAGACGCGTGTAAGGTCTTTTTTCTCTCGAGACTTAAATGGTAAACTGATCTGTTTACTTTTACGTTTGTTTATTATTATTTCTTTTTTTTTTTAAACAAACAGAACCTTCATTGCTACACGTTTAAGGTATTTATTTCCTGCGTTGCTTGAAAGGAATTCGACACTCGAATTCGGGGGGGGCATCGACTTTTCGTGTGGTTGTATGGTCACGTGACGCTGAAACAGTTAAGTGATACAGCTTTTACAAAAGTACGAGGTATACTCTTTGAAAAGTTGAAATGTGTGAAAAACGTAAAAAAATGAGATCTTTTTGGATTGAAATTGCAATGCCCGTGTGCTTCGATCGAACGGGGTCAGGTCTTCAGGTGTTACTGAACATATAATATCTACAATACTTTAGACACGTAAGTAACAAGTGCATGCGTGTGATGGTGCAATTGAACGTGGCTTGGTCGCCTCGAGCGACTGATCCTCCCGCACCCATGCCACGCGAGAGCATCATCATCATCTCTTTTCTCTTTCTTCTCGAGTGAAACTCTGTGTCTTTTTTCGGAGCAATGCAGCTTCCGTGTTTCAGTGCTTGGTTTTTTAAAAGCTGTTGTATTTTTGTCTCTTTACTCTCATGTTGATACCAAACTTGTTTTTTCATATGTTTTATGTGTACGTTAATTTTGGTATACCTAGTACTTACGTACTAAAATTCAGAAATTCCCATAAGTCGATTAAAAGACTATTATAAAAAGAGATGCTCGAGCAGTCTTCAAAATTTTCACATTTTTATAATTTTTTTTTTTTACCACGCTACAAGATCTGGTGTGTATTCTCTTCCGCCAAGTGGAACGTACTTCTTTTGGTAACTGTATTTTATGCATTTATTTTCGAGAAACCGAGAAAGAGTTCATTATGTTGGTGATTGTGCAACGTTCAAATTAATGGTTAGTTATATAAGCCGTTTGAACGTGTATATTGGGCGACCCGATATATTTTTCCTCTTAACTCTCTAAAAATGTTTTTTTTTCTTTTTCCTTTAAATGCTTCGGTACGTTTTTTTGAAAAGATTACTTACTGTTCTCGTGTGCATTTAAAGCTACACCTTGTTGATAAGATATTACGGAACCGAAGTAGATAATGTAAAAACTCATTGTTAAATAAATAAACGGTCGTGTTATCGTGTCATCTGGAACGATTTCAGTTAGAGAAATTTTTTTTTTCTACTTATCTTTGGCACTAAGTGTTTTTTAAAATACTTTTTCCCGAGAAAAAACTTTTTTTTTCGTCAACTTCCATAATGTTTCGCGCTAAATTTACTAATTAAATTACGATAAGAAATACTATCGTGTTTATCGCAACTAAATATTAAAATAATGTTATTTCGCTAATGGGTTTAAAAAATGGGTTCAAAAAGACTGATAGTAGAAAAAAAAAAAATGGTTGATGCAGTTAAAAATCCTAAATCGTTTGAATATGCATTTTACGGCATTTTAAATATCGTACCCGATATTTCGCGTACAATAACGTGCAAGGAAGTATTCTTAGATATACTTGAAAAAAAAAACCCGAAGTAAGTATACGTATGTAGGGAATAGTGCAAGTATTTCATGCGTGGGTATAACGTGTGTAGTCTCCTTCTTGTAGGTATAATGTATATAAGCGAATGCACAGGCAAAAGGGGTTCTCGTGCACTTACCCGAAGAATCACAGGACGCGATTGGCTAATCGCGTATGTCCTGAGACTCAATACCACTCGGAAAGGTAAAATCTTATTGGTGCTCCTTTTCTAATGTAATTT